TCAAAAATTTATTGTTGAATGTCAAGGTATGCCAAAGGATCAAGGTTCACAGGCATAAGCCTTATGGCCTACTGAGACCTCTTCCCATTCCCGATGGACCCGGCGAGTCGATTTCCATCGACTTCACGAACATGGGAAAGGTGAGTGAGGCTGGGAATTCGCAAGTCATGGTCATTGTGGACCGCTTCTCCAAATTTCTGAACTTGGTTCCTCTCCCTCCTCACGCCCCGACTGAACTTGTCATAAAAGAATTTCATCAAAAATAATTCCATCAGCAGTACATTTTGCAGTCCGACGTCCCGAAAACTATTGTGAGTGATCGGGACACCAGATTCATCAGCAAAGATTGGAAAGACTTCACATCTCAGATCTACGACATCAAACTGAACAGGACTTCTGGTCGACACCCCGAAGCCAACGGATTGGCTGAGGAGATCAACCAGACTGTCATCCAATTGCTTCGCGCACTAATTGTTCCAGATCAGAACACGCGGGATAAGGAATTGCACAAAGTGAAGGGGCTGTACAACAACTCCATTCACTCTGCGACTGGTGTGACACCAAACCAATTGCAGTATGGATGGCCAATGCGTAATCCCCTCTCCTATCTGTTCCCTGAACGGTCACCTGGTCTGATGCCCGGCATGCCTGGCTACAATGCCAAGTACGCACGCTTGCTCAAAGCTGCTACAGCAGCTATGAACAAGCGCCAGCATGCCATATCAAACCTGCTAATAAGCGGCGCAAAGAAGAAAAGTTCAAAGTAGAGGATTATGTTTGGGTCAAAATGTCTGAGTTTTCTGATGAAGAGGGCATATCACGGAAGCTTCTTCCACTGTACTACGGCCCTTGGCAGATTCTGAAGGTAGTCGGGGATGATTTCGGCCCTTCGTATGTGATTGACGTGCCTCCTCATCTGCGCACGTATCCAGTCTTCCATGCCTCCAAACTGTTCCCACACATTGATGATGAGACTTTTCCCTTCCGTGATCCTATGATACCTCGCCCTATTGACGGCGGCCATGAGATTGACAGAATCGTTTCTCACGAGGGGAGAGGAAGGAACAGACAGTACAAAGTTCATTTCCTCTACCACCCGTTGAACGAATTCTTCTGGATCGACCGGAAAGAACTATTAAAGAGTGCTCCACGTGTTGTGAACGCATATGAACGACAGATTGTTGACGGACAGACCACTAAGTTTGCTGCAAAACTCACTCCGTTCGGACTCACTAACACTCTCTTTTTGATCTATGCCTATGACGCCTTCTGTGCCGACTGTGACTGAGTTACTCGCTCGAAGGGACCTCGCTCTCGAGAGGGGAGTAATGTAATGACCCGCCCAAAACACAGACTGAGAACACTGCTGATTTCTGGGATTTGCCAATGGAATGAATGCCTTGCTGTGATTCCCGCATTCTGCT